TGAGTGGGTGGGTGAAGGGGGGTAAGTGTCTGCCTGTGCATGGGACCTTGCCAGACTATGTTCTTGATTGCACGGATAGAAGGGAGCAGATTGCCCTGATGTCTCCCATGCCTTCGACAAAGGGAGAAATCCATTGCTGGTGTGAGGACAGAAAGTTGCAGGAAGGGAGGGCTCCCGCTGCAGTGACCATGGAGCTGTTCCTGACCTCACCACTGAAGGATCATGTCTCTACAACACCAAGGTAAATAACCAGACCTTCAGGGAAGGTAAACGTGATGATGTTTTTGCATGAGGATGTCAGGATGGAGACAGCACAGTTTCATGAGTTCAAAGAGGGGTAATGCTGCAAAAGACCTACCCTCAGCCCTACTCCTGCCTTCACCCGGCTGCAGTCGCAAACCCCAGAGAAGCATCTTGTTATTTTCCAATGAGAAATGTGCTGTGGGGAGCGGTATTGCCCTCTCTCTGCTTTAGTATCCCCTTTCCCAGACATAGGTCCTTGCGGCTGTTTGGACACCCATCCATGCTGTGGCTGTGCCATACCTTCCTTGGGTTCTTCTGCACCTCCTCATACCTACTCTGCCTGACTGTCCTGCTGCTGGCTTGTGTATTTTGAGTAACTGCTACTGAGTTATTGAATAATCGGGTGAATATGTGAACAGGGGTCTCCATAGGTGTCTTATCTGCACAGAGAGCTGAAAAATAAGCTGAGAAGTAAGCTGAAGGTAAATATACAAACAACAACAAGACTTTCAGGTGGAGGGATAGGTGTCCAAGGGTCTTTATTGGCATTTGGTTTTAATTCACTGTTAAAAATATTGTATGAAATATGCCTATATTCAGACAGTGTATATTGTGCATAAATACACCTTCTACAGATCCCAGTGGGTTTGCACAATTACATTAAAACTCACTCTATAACCATAGTGGTAAAACCTCCAGCAATCACATGGTGAGTTCTTGTTGATAGTGATTTCTAGAGTGTGTGCTTCACTATGCAAGAAATCCACCGAGTGACATGTCCACAATCACCTGAGAATTCTGCTGTGGAGCTACAAAATTTAAATTTGCTGCTTCCAGCCTCCATCTTCCTCATTACAACATCCAAACACTAGTTTTAGGAGCAAAATAACAAGAAAAGAGCTGATACAGTAATCACAGTTAGCATGGGAGGAAATCTCAAGAGTAAACCTAAACCTGTCTAAACAGAACAATGCCAGGAAAATATAAATATATTTTATAGCTTTCTAAGAGCAGAGGTTATCACACTCAGGGATGAGTCCTTGGCCTCTTCCTGTTGAATTAAGAGGAAAAAAATACCACTGGCTTCAAAGAGAATTAAGAATTATCCTGGGATTACTAAAGTCGTCAGTGATCAGAACTTTGCTTCTCTGCTACCCTTTCCCACAGATTTACTATTTTATTTTTTAAAATAAATTCAAAGAATGTTGTTTATTTTAGAAGACTACAGGCTGAAGAAAGAATCCAAATACTGTGTACAGAAGGGCGAATTGAAATCCTCTTGTTTAAACGGTCTTCAGCCGGAAAATTCAGTTTTTGGCTACCCAACATTTTTTTAAAATTGTCTTTTCTTGGACTAACAAAAACACACACTCAAAAGATTATTTCTTACTGGGTAAGTACAAAATAAAAAACCTGGGTGCTCCAAAACGGAAATATGTATATTTCTGTACATACGTATAGATGTTGAAAGGGAGAATATATGCGTAGTCATAGACTGAAGAGGTGTGTTGGTTTTTTTCTCATGCATTTACAAATGTTTAATTTGCTATATAGCAGAAATAGAAGGTCACCGGCCCTCCTGCTCACTGTCACACTACCAGCTAAATGGATTGATGGGAAGTTTTTCAGCAGGCAAGTCAATTCACAGATTTTATATTTTCTGCTCATGTGTGTCTTCCTTTACACCCGTTTTGCCTGTGTGCTGGGAAAAACAAATGTTTCAGAGAGGGTTAACCCATCTAGACAAGCCAAGTGGCAGAGTTTGCAGACCCAGGGAAAAGGGCAGGGAGTTCAGCACTTCCTCTGAACCAGTGATGATGTCTATGCGGGAATGAGGTTCATCCAACTTGACTTTAGTCATCCATGACGTAGGTTTCTCCACTTGCGCTGATCAGTGTAGCTCCTGTTAAGTCGATGGCAAGCACTTTTAGGACATGGTTCATCCATCTGAATGCAGATATCTAGGATGGGTTTCACTTTCGGGTTAAGACACCCAGCTTTAAAGGTGTATCTCACTAAACATATCTGTCTAGTATTACTTCAGATCTTGGTGTCTGCTGTCTGGCCTCCAGCTGCCATTGCAAAAGAATCTTGTCCTGTGTCTTGTTTATCAGCTCTGTCTGGATTCTGTAGGTACTCTAGGGCATCCTAAATGGCATGAAGCACCTGTGTTCAGGCAGCTGCTATTGTATGACAGGTATCTCCAGTTGGTTATCGCTGTGTGCACTAGGCTTCTATTGCTTGAATGGAGACCTTGCCAATAGTCAGTGAAGGTTAGGGGTGACTGCTAGCCAGATGTAGGCACTCATTTTAGGCTCAGCTGAGTCATTAGGTTCCTTGGACTTTTTAACTTGATGTCCATTAACTGTAACAGGACCTGAGACACCCAGAACACACAGAGGTATCCACAAGTAGGAGCGTAAGAAACACTTCTGGGAAATTGCCTGTTTCCCTTCTCTGACTGCTAGGAGACTTGTCTGGTTGACTGTCTCAGACTGCAACTTACAGGGCTATACTTAGCCAGATGATTCTCCTTTTGCACATCACTGTGGGTATTTCTTTTCATTTGGAGGCCAGCCTTGACTACACACAGGCCTTTCCAAGCAGAATCCATTGACGCAACTCTCACTTGTGTGGAAATACCGCACCAAGAGCAGAGGGAGGGATCATCTGTCCCCCATAGACAGGATGTGCTTTTTGCCTGCCACACCTTGCAAATCTTTTTAGTGAAGATGTAAGGTCAGGTTGATTGAACCCACACCACTACGCAACAGAACAGCACTGATCAGTTTTTAACACGGAAAAATAATGGAAAAGACATGAATTATGCAGAAATTGTTTGATTTTAAACTCATGCTTGCACAGACCAATCCAGATAACATCCCTCCTGGAACTGTATATTCAGATATATTGTGTCAGAATTGCCTGGCCCATGTCTCTTCCACAGGACTTTATTCCTGAACGAATTTGCAAACAGAGGGTGAGCATAGTACAGAAGCTGAAAGCTTTCCTAAAGCCCTGTTTGACAGCTCAAGTGTCATACGAACCTTTTGACAGATGCCTTTCAAGGGCCAACTTCTCCCACCTGGAATATCGACTCTCATCACAAAATAAGCAAAATTTTCTTTCACAAAACCAGGTGCCACAGAGTAAAATCTCATTATTAAAGAATATTAATGAATTTCCCTTCTGTTTTCACTTTTCAGATGTTAATACTCCAAACAGCTTTTACTCTGACAGTACACGTGTTTTATACTTGCTGTGGTGAATTAGTTGTGAAAGTACTACCTTCCTTAGCTTTGTGGAGTCTGGCTTGCCTCATTTCATAAAGATATTTGCAATAACCATAGAAGGTTTGGCTAGTGGTTGTTGACCCTTATTTATCACCTGAATGCTAAAAATCTGCTCTGGTTGCTCTGATGAGAAGAGTTCAAACTGAGCTTGAGAAAGGTCTCTGTGTTTTCAATGAGCATCTTCTGGTGGTAATACTGATTAAACTACTGTATCTGTGGTTCTCTTCAGCCTTGCAGGAGAGAGAACAACAATTCCCAGAAGTTTGTTAGAAGCCAGATGTTGAACAGCAGTAAAAAAACTGGAAGAAGAAGTGGCCAATGACAAAATTGTTTGACCTTGATGAAGTGTGCTCTGTGAGAAGTGCCTACAGGCCAAATGTTGGCCCTTTGCAGAAAGGTATTTTTACTCTCTGGGAGGCTTACTTTGTAGACAAGTGCCTTTGATACCACTTGGAGATTGGGAAGGAAAAAGAGTGATGTGTTTTAGGCTTTGCACTGCTTAAATGATGTACTTTCCCTCAGCCCCACTTTTGCAGGAAAGAGAACTCATATCTTATTAGTATTACTCAGCTAAAGGTACTGCAGAATGTCATTCTCTGCCTCTCAGTTTTCCAATATCTTGGCATTCCGTTTTCATCCTGCTTTGGGATGAAAAGCATAAAATGTTTTAGATATGGTATATGTGTGTGTGTATAAAGCAAAACAAAATGTTCTTCCAGTTTAGATCTGGAATTGCAAAGATGACATATTTTGACATTTTGAGCAGAATCACATTTTGGCATTTGGAAACAAATATTGATTCATACCAAACTGTTTCATTTCAAAACTCTCATTTCAATTTGAAAATAGCATTAAAATGACATTTGCAGCTGAAATGTCAATTTAAAGGAAAATGTTTCAGCTTAAATTGACATACAGGAACAAAACATTTTGATTCCAAATTTCCCCTTGTGGGGGAGTAAAAAATATTTTTTGTGGTTGTCAAAAACTTGCTTCTGAATTGCACTGATTTTCATGAAACTAGAGTTTCCTACAACAACAACAACAATCTATTTAATGCAAAACAGTTAAACAATTTTAGCACTTGGCATCATTGTTTGAATCCAGGCCCAAGTGCAGCCGGACATGTTTGTGCTGCCATGTAGACCTAGCTAAAATACTCTTTGGGCTCATCCTTGTGACAGATGCTGATGAAGAGCTGGCACTGCTGACATCATCACTTTCCTCTGTAATGGACCCCTGCCAAAAATGCACACATACGGCTCTGAACTGCTGCCCTGTTTCACAAGAGATGATGGTCAGGATTCATCTGCCTGTTCAGGTTCACTCCCTGCAAGAGCTAAGAGGCTTCATCAATTATACTGCTTTTGGCTGGAAGGGAATTAAATGGAGGGCGCGAGCGCCTCTGCTGGGTAGGCTTCAGGGTGTCCATCCTGATCTTACTAGTTCTTTGCTATGCTCTTCTCAGATTTCATCCTCTTCCATACTTATTCTGTCCTCCTTCATGCTCCCCAGCTCTTTAAAGGTTGCTTTTGTCAGTGTCCTCTTTGTGTCCCTCAGGACAGATTTGAGTTTCCTGGTCAGCATATCTGGCCAGTTGTGGCTGTAAAACAGAGGAGAGAGAAGGAGTTAGCAACCCTGCTTGCTAAGGATTAGCCTTTTGTTTTGCATCATTTTGGGTCAGACAAAGCAGAAACATTAGACATTCTCAAAGCCATCAAGAAGCATCAGACAAGGAGGGATGTTGGTAGAGAACTGCAGGAATGTGGTGGTCCCAGTAGACCATACAACTGCTGGAGCTGTTGCATCGGTTAATGGGATACATAGAGCTTTCATCCAAGGGACATCCATTCAGGACATGGTTTAGTCTAGTCCTCAGGACATGGTTTAGTCTAGTCTACCCTTGATTGGCTTAGAGTAGACTTGGTAGTGTAGGTTAATGGTTGGACTGGATGATCTTAAAGGTATTTTCCAACCTAAACGATTCTATGATTCTATAAGGATATTCACTTTACAAATGTAAATTACATTTACATAAAAACAACCAGAGGGCTTCAGCTGCTCCTGAAAAACATTCCTAACTGTGCATCACAAGCATCATAAAGCCCCTAGCTGGTAATAAAAGCGATTCCCTGTTAATCAACTGGGCTTCTCTGAGTCTGAGGTCATTCACTGCCACCAATAAGACATCTGAAGGTCCAGCTGCTCTGACAGCCCCATGACCTCACCAAGCCCAGGACAGGATAAGCAGAGAACCAGAAAGCCCTGACAGCCATCTCAGATCCAGGTGTGGTTTTGCTGTCTTAGCCTGGCACTGTTCCTGACAGAATAAGCTCTGCTGAGTAGCAGGACTTAAGAGCTGGGCTAACTGAGAGACTACATCTAGATCCAGGCTAGTCAGCTAATGTGATGGAGCTGAAGAGGATCATTTGTTAAGATGCTCCAAGTATCAATGATGCCCAGGTTCTACCACCTGTTGGTGGGCACAGATTTATTATAACATAATGGGGGTTTCAGAGACAAAACAAACCTCAAGGACTTGTAGGAGGACAGAAGCTGAGTGAATAGCAGAGCTTTAGGCACATCTCAACTATGCAGCTGTCCTGTCCTACAAAGAGCATCATATGAAATCAAATTTACTGTGTATAATAGAAGAAAATATCATTCCAGCTCTTGAAAACTGAAAAGAACCAAAGCTAACCCATACCAATAACACCATTGTGATTATATAGATTTTAAAAAGAAAGAGTTGAGAAACTGTTGTATATATATATACGGCTTTAAATTGTACACACCATCATTGTATAATGAACAAGCAGTTACTTTAGAATAAAATATATATGTAAAACTGACTACATGAAGCAGGGATCCTGTGGCAATAGGACAAGGGGTAATGGTTTTAAACTAAAAGAGGGCAGATTCAGACTAGATAGAAGGAAGAAATTTTTTATGATGAAGGAGGTGAAACACTGGCACAGGTTGCCCAGAGAGGTGGTAGATGCCCCATCCCCGGAAACATTCCAGGTCAGGTTGGATGGGGCTCTGAGCAACCTGATCTAGTTGAAGATGTCCCTGCTTATTGCAGGGGGGTTGGACTAGATGAGCTTTAAAGGTCCCTTCCAACCCAAACCATTCTGTGATTCCATGATTTTATGATTCTATTATTCTGTGCCAAGAGTGCAAGATATGAGGTCTTGAAAGGAGGGAAATGAATATTATTAGGCCCAAGGACTATTCACACTAATGACCAATTATTAATATAGAATTATTAAGCAGCCTAATGAAACTGCCCGTAATGACAGCACAGAATGAGCTGTCTTTAAAGTATCTATTAGATATCTATAAAGTATATAAATGTACTTTAAAGTATATATAAGACTATAGCAAAGTCAACCAATATCACTGGCACCAGAACCAGGTATGCAGGGTTGACCACTCTGACACCCTGTACTGTAGCACTACATATCTAATGTTTTTTTGTTATCATTCAAGGGAATTGTATTTTATTATTTGACCTAAGGTTCTTCAGGTGGTGTTTGATGGTCTGGTTACCTGTGCCTAAGGACTGGCTCTTAAATCTGGATTCAACAAGAGACGAGCCAGGACCTCCAAACTCAGCTCAAGTCATGTTCCCTTCACTCTCACACTCAGAGGGAGACCAAGGGCAGCCAAGGACAACCAAGGGTAAAAACCAGGAAGGGTATCTAAAGGCAAATTGCAGAATCTTAAGAAATCACTCAAATGCATCAACCCAATGCGATTTAGGATTCAGTGGAGTATCCACCCTGAAAATTCATTCATTGAACTTTATGAGAAAGAGCTGATACCCTTGCTAAAGATGATCCCAAATGTTTTGCAACCACTAAGGAAACAAGGAAAAAGTTTGGGTTTTGGGGTTTTTTTAGGCCTTTTTGGTGTTTGATGAAGAAGATATGCCTTCCAGTGTGTTGCTGGAGATGTCCCTGCATACCAAGAGAGAACTAGCTGGTTCAGAGTGGAAGAAAGGGGTAAGAGAAGAAAGATATGATGGGGAAAAAAAAAAAAAAACTATAGAAATGAGTGTTTGGTTTCTGCAGTTCTGGTTTTAATCTTTGGAAAGGTCATGCAGGCAAAATCATCAGACATTATCGCTGCAGTGGGACTGAAGGAGTAAGCTGTGATTGTATGGGTTTCTGCATAGGCATGGGTTTCACCTTTGAGGACAGAGAGATTCTTTATCAAAAACCATGTCCTGAATGAGCTTTCAGATCTTAACTCTTGGTCAGCCACACCTTGCTAGTCTATGGCTTGGCCAGCAAGACACAATGATTTGGGTGTTTGCTATACATCCTGAACAAGAAAGAACCTTGAGGGATCTCCTGTCACTAAGCTGAGCTCATGGAACAAGAGGTCAGAATAGAGGGAGAGGCAAAGTCTTGAGGGGGGAAAAAGAGAGAAAGCAACTTAAAAAATTGAGCCTCAGTACTTTTACGTGATCACAGACTTGGGATCCATACATGACATGCTACCTGTATGCTTTTACATCTAAAGGTCAGGAAAAATCAATACAGGTGGCACTAAGATTTATACACCATGGATCCTGCCATAAACACAGCAGCTACCAGTCTCACTGGGATGAAATCTCACCCCTTTGAACTCCACAACGAACTCTGACTGACTTGCATGGGGTCTAAGTCTCATCTCAAAAGTGAGGTCAATCTAGGGATCACAAGGAGTCATTGACCTCTCTGTGGGACAGTTCTCTGCTCGGCCTTGATGGAAAGAGACAAATCCCTTTCTCCATATCAGAAGCACTGTAAGATGCTAGGGGTGGGATTCAGCTGCCTGACAATACTGCCTAGCAGTATTTGAGATGCCATGGTTTATCGTACATGGTCTTCATCTGCTGCTTCATCTGCCAGCCTTGCACAAGTGTCTTTGACAACCATGGTGCTCTGGGCTGAGTCCCACTTGCGTGAGTGGGTTAGTAAGTCCATGTTAAGACCACAGGTCCTACCTCAGGACAAAGTATAAGGATCACTAGTGGTATAGCCAAAAGGTTTATCTTCAGGTAACTGGAGGTGCACTTTGGTGTTCCTCATGCTTTGCTGTATGTTTTTATCAAGATCCGACCACAACCATCACTTCTCTTTGAAAACAGCTGTCCACCGAGGACAGCAGAGTCCACAGTCACTCTTTCAAGGTTAAAGGATTTACTTCCTGAGCATAAGAAGCACAGTCTTGACCTTCGTCTAGACTCCAGGCCAGATGAATACACCGAAATATATAAATACTCCGAGATGGGGATCCCTATCTTATCACAGCAAGGACCCCATAAGACTGTTAACAATTTGCAGTCCCAGACTAATAGGACTGTAAACTGGGTGAATGGACTGTAGATCACTTTTTTTGAGATCCTTGTAGACTGTTCCTTTATTGCTATGAAGGAAAAACAAGGTTATTGATGGCATATTCCCTTTCATCATAAATGTCTAAGATAGATTAGCTGGAAATGTCACTAAACGACCAAGCAGGCATGTGGGAATAAGTGGCTGTTGAAGACATAATTGCCTCCCTTGAAAGCTTCATGCACAGAAGACAGATTGAACTAGGACTATTGAAAAGCTCCAGGTATAAACGCCTTATTGATTTTTCTGCTATTTCCCATGAATTGAGCCAAGTGGGCTAATGAGGACCTTCTGTTCTCTATAATATACTGCTAATCAGCCTTGCTTCAGTGCAGAAGTCTATGTCTGTGGATGATATACATACTAAATATTTTTGTATCAGTATACGTGCAGTTTTTGTCAAGCACGTCTAGCCCAAGTGAGAGATCCTCTTTGTCTCTGGCCTTGGAGAAGTAGCTTGTGCTCATAGGTGTAGATCAGCAGGGCAGTCTTCTGTGCCTTGGAGCTTATATTTAGTAGTGAGTGTTCACACATGATAGTACTTATGCAGGTCTGTGTACAGTGTGTCCCATATTTAAATCTTTTTCTTAAATGAGGAATTTCTGCCCAACTCCTAGACTAGGGAGAGCCTCAGACAAAAATTTAAAAATCTCTTAAGGGAGATAAAGCAGCCTAGTAACACCCCCTGAATCTTTAAATGCTGTGGTTGGGAAAGAGGAACACAGCCAAAAGTTCTCTGCTGGGTTTTATCCTTGTGAGAAAATTGGATGGAACTTTAGTCTTTAGAGTAATCCATCAGCTTGATATGGTGTATCTTAGGGGTTTGTAACCAGCCTATATCTAGGCACTCTGGGCTTTCATCCACCTCTGTCTTTTTCTAAGAAAGTGGAAATTAAATAAAAGTTAGTTCAGAAGCACCAAGCAGAAGCATTATTGCTTCTTTTGGAGATATTATTAAAAAAACCAACCATGCAGCATTTTCACAGGACATCAGACCCTCCATGTGCCTGTGTGGGTGTGCATGCTTATATGCCAGCCCTGTTCTGGTAGCACCTATTTAATCAGGCACCTCAGGTCATGCTCTTATACTCCATGTAATTTCTGAATTCCAACCAACTCATCCTAAATCCACATTTATTTCTTGTACCAGTAGGTACCATAGTGATGAGTGCATCATGTTTCATGTCATGAGATATGGAATTACACTAGGCAGGAG